TTTAATATATAACAGAGCATTTTTAAAACATTTTTACGCTTTACATTTTCTAATAAAAAGATTTAAAATATTTTAAAAATATTTATAAAATAGTTACAATATAAATAATTATATATACCATCTAATAATAGCTTAAATCTACTTCCTTTTGACCAAGGAAATTTTCAAATACCCACTCTCTTACCCATAGACTTCCTCCAACCCAACTCGAAGGTAAGTTCTTGTTCTTGGGGTTCCCCTACCCTCTATTATTTTTACTTTTTTGGAACCCAATCACAGGGGCTACACCCCCTGCAGCAATCGAGCGGAAAACGAAGAGCAAGAGGAGGTTCATAAACTGCAACTTCCTGAATTTAAAAACGCATTATCAAAGGCACATAAATAAAAGGTCGGCTGCGATCGACAGGCGGCCGTTGTCGCTGCCGTGGGGAGAAATCATTGAACGAAATCGACATTCGGCACCGGGAATAGTAAAATTTATTGCACTTTTTTCCGCTGCCGAGCAGCAATCCTTTGTCATGACATGAAATAAACTAAAAAACGAAAATAATAAAGACGAAAAAACAAAGCAGCAGCAGCAACACTTTCAACTCCAATTCGAGAAACAATGAAAACTCTTTCAAATGCAGCAGCAGCAGCAGCAGCGAAAACAAAACAAGAAACACATTAAGCTGAGACCAGAAAAAAAAACGCAAAAAAAACACATAAAAAACAACAACGAAAATAAAAGAAAAAACATTTTTCACGAATTAACGTGGCCAGTGAAGCCGAACAGCAAAAGGTTTTTTTTATAATTGATTTCCTGCGATTGCAGAGCAAACGAGAAAGAAAAGCCTTCAACAGCAGCAACTAAATTACACAGAAAACATTTATAAAAATATATATTAAGTTGTAAAAGTCTGATAAGATTAAAAATAAAAATATAGAAAATAAATGAATAAATAATAAATATTAAAAATTAAAAGAACGATAGTTTTGAGTTTGAAATAAATCTCTAAAGTATCATAACATTAAATATATTTTAAATTATAGCAAATTTCTTAAGGAAATTTATTTAAATTAATTTTTTTAATTATAAATTTTATATCATTTCACTTTACTTACATTTTTTCTCTGTGTAGCAACAACCTGAGGCCAGGTCCACTCCGATTTCGACTACCGTGCAAACCCATTTCGCAGTTAACAGTGCCACAAATAAAAATAAATTATACCAGAAAAAATAGCACAAAATACTGTGGGGTTAAAGCACAACAACAACAATAAAAATAACTACAACAACAAGAGGACTATATATATATAAACACATTATTTTATTTGTATGCAAGTTGTTGCATTGCCACAAAAAGAGAAAAGCAACCAACAAAAGGATGAAAATAGAGAGAAAGGTAAGCTAAGAAGGTTAAAAATCAGGCATAAAACTTAAATAAAATTGGTCAGATATAGAAGGTTTTTAAATATGCTTAAAAAATATATATTATAGGTATTGTATATATATGGTAAAAAAGAGATATTTATAGGGAATATATTAAACCCAGAAAGAGCTCAAGGCATAAATTTATAGAAGCCTCTAAAAAAGGTTTTAGTCATTTTTAATATTAAAAAAACGTTTCCTTTGAGAATACCTTAATAATTTAAGTATATATAAATGAAATAAAATTTTAAATTATTTTATAATTTAAAACCATTTTCTTTATTTTAACAACCCTCCTGCTTCATCATCTTACCTGACTTCTATAGGTTTTCTAATATATACACCGACTACCTCAAGTTAGATCCTTACTTAACTCCTCAAGACTGTTCCTTTACAACCTTATTTGTGTGTTTTTTTTTCGGTGGTTACCTGGACAACACCTTTAGGGGATGAGAACGCACTTGGTCTCACGATCCATGGATGATGCTCTGGGACAGATAATGCCGGGATGACCCATATCAAATCAAAACTCCCTCACACCCACAGTGTACCGCAGTCCAAAAAAAAAAAAAAAGGTTAAGGAAAAAATCACAAAAAAAACAACAACAAAAACAAAAAACTGACAAAAAAATATGGGGGGGAAAAGAAACGCTGAAAAACAACACAACAATAAGAAAAGTGGAAGGAAAAAAGTACGACGACCATCAACACGATCATCAACGAGAACCATAAATAAGACTTAAATGGCATGAAAAAGGCAAAGCAACAACAACAACAATATCAACAACAACAACAACAACAGTACAACAACAACAGTACAACAACAATGGTGAGTGCAATCAAAACGCAGGCCATAGCCATTACACCAACAACAACAACAACCATCAACCGCAGCCAACAACTCTGAAAAGAAAAAGCAGCGAAAAAATAAAAAAACTCCAACGAAAAATTATCAACAACAACAACAACTACAACAACAATACAGAAAACCATACAAAGTCAACGTTATATATCGGGGCTATAAAGGCAACAAAAAACCACAGCCAGTCAGCCGCACCTTCGAACCCACACACATCCACACGTACTACCTGTATAATCTTGGTTACTATATGGTATATATGTATATATATCTGGTGCCTCTGTCTGCTTCCTCTTCCTCATGCTCCGACTTCGACTTCGACATCAACTCCAGAGCGAGGAGCCTGCCTGCAGCGTTTGGGGATCAAGCGACCTGAAAAGACGAAAAAAAAATATAAGAAAATAAAAAATTTGAAAAAAAAAAAAAAAATACAGAATTCACAACGAATATTTTATACTGTTTTTGTTATTTAATTTATTATTATTATAGTTTTTTACAAAAGTCTGTGATAATGTCATAAGTGGGTGAAAAAATCTTTAAAATACTTTATAAAATATATATACTTATATGTTTATTATTTAAGATTTTTGTATTTAATTCACTAAAATATGTTTACCTACTTCTGCTTTTTTAAAATATTTTTTACATCATTTCCAAGAATATTTTTAACGATTTCTCTAAGTATTTTCTTTTTTTTTATTAATAATATTTGTTAATTAATTCCTTAAAATATTTTTATCGACTTCTGCTATATATTTTTTATTTTCTTATATTTTTAAAATAATTTCCAGCAATATTTTTAACGATTTCTCAAAGTATTTCAGTTTTGGGAATGATATTATTTTATATTTGGTTTAAGTATTTCTTTTAAAAATCTCTAAAAAATTATTAAATTAAAAAAATATATAATATAAATAATAATCTAACAAAGTTCCTAAAAATATAATCATGTCCTTTGGAAAGTGTATTGGCAATCACAGCGAGCGACGGACGCGTGTTGCTCTGTGCCGTATCTTTGACTCAATCTCGAGGCAGCCTGGCTTGAACCGTCTTGGATCCCGGAGTTTCATTCGATCCGCAGCAAGCATCCCCCTTTGGTAGCCCTCTCCCCCATTCCCTGAAAGAGGCTCCTCACTGGACCAGAGGGTGGGGCGATGTTGGGGCGGAGATAATGCCAGGTGAGTGCTGAGGGCGGCGATGATGAACCCTCACATCCGAGGGGCGGACGGCAGTTTCGTTTCGCTTGGAGTGAAGCGAAAGCCAGGAAATCCTTCGTTATTCCAAAGATCAGGTATATGTATAACCTGAGCAATTAAAATACTCCGTTTAATGCCATAATTTAGTGGCTTAATGCCAAAAACAAATGGAATAGATAAATTAAACTGGCGCCGGACAATCCTCTGAATATTTATATGTCTGCTAAACGGAGATTTCGGACTTTTTTAGCTTTCTAATATGAAAAAAAAAACATTTAAGCTAAAGTGTGCTAATTTATGCTAGAATATGGATAAATGCATAAATAAAAGACAACTAAAACTAGCGAAAAAAATGTATAAAACTTTGGGCAAAAGAGGAAATGTATGAAATATATTCTACCCTTTGAAAGTCTTAGCCTTTTTGGGAGTTTAGAAATCAAGAAAGTCTGAGTTATATATAGAGAGAGTCTTTATAATATCTAATGATGTCACCTTTTTGTAATACCCATTCTTTAGGGTATCCGAAGCTGGCGGCCGATGTCGAGGCTGGTAAACAATGCTTGTTTGTTGGCTTGACTCGAAGATTGTTTTGCAGACATAAATCTCAAGACCAACAGACAGTCCAAGTGAACAGATGTGGACCAAAAAAAATACTATACCATATATATATATAGATATAAAGCAAAGAATACCCTCAGGGCTGGAATCAAGTCCACCATAAATTCTCTTCGGTTCCATCTAGTAAATTGAAAATTGGTTTATAGCCAAAGTGCTAAGGGGGGTTTTAGTTTAAAATTATAATCCATCTTAAGTCTAGCTTAGTTTACTCCAGAATTTGTTATAATAATATATGTTTATCTATATATAATTTTATTATAATTTAAAAAGCTCAAGAAAAGCCCTATTTCTATTTAATTTGTTTCATTATTTAACTAATTCTTGAATACAACCCAAATTCTAATTCTTTTGCCAAGTGTATATCGACTTCGGCTTTCAAAACTTAACCCCAAAAATTCAAATTTCTTGTTTCTTCTTATTTTTATTTTATTTTATTTATTTATTTTTTCCGTAAAGTTTGCCTGTCTGCTCCACTCAGTGTGTCTGGTGCGGCTTATGTGTTCATTTGTTTATTGCCAGAAGACAGAACTCGAAAACCAGTTCCTCTCCGAGATGAAGTTCTATCGTAATTGCGTATAACTTTAAGTACAATACATTAAGGTCTAATTGACAGACAGACTGGCAGCCCCGAAAGGCAAAAGCCTCATCGAAATGGTATAGAATGTTGGCTGCTCGTGTTGGGATTTATTATATAATCATGCGGAATTACGTAAGCACTTGTCGAGCTTTAAGTAATACTCTTGGATCTTCAACAGATCTTTGTGACTGAGTTGGAGAAACGATCAGGAAAGAGATCTCTTCTCGGAGTCTTTTTCAAGCATGAAGAATTGATTGGTTCTAAAGTAATTTTAATTTTCAAAGCGAGAGTAAGTACAACAGTTTTCAGTAGAAAAATTGTAAAGTTAGTTTAGAAAAATGTCTCGTTGGGCAAACTGTATGTCCTGGCTTCTACTCACCTTAAGCCTGAGCTCTCAGCAGCAAAGATTCTCGCCTTATAAACACACTGAACTCAAATTGGATCACTTGCTGCACTTGGCCTCCCTCTCGGATGTGGATCATCTGCGTAAGACAGTGCAAGCCCTAACAATACCCAGGGTAGTTGACACTCCAGGCCATACCAAAGTGCGAGATTATATCACAGACTTCCTAAAGAACCTAAAATGGCACGTGAAACTGGATATATTCACCGAAAAAGTGCCCATTTTGGGTTATCTCACCTTTATGAATATTGTGGCCAGTCAGAATCCCAAAGCCAAGAGATTCTTAATGCTGGGCTGTCACTATGACAGCAAATATTTTCCAGATTTTGAATTTGTTGACGCCACAGATTCTGCGGTTTCCTGTGCCATACTCCTACATCTGGCCGAGGCTCTAAAGGATCAGTTTCGAGAATCTGATCTCAGCTTGATGTTTGTCTTCTTCGATGGCCACGAGGCCTTTAAGAAATGGTCGCAGACGGATTCACTCTATGGCTCTCGTCACTTGGCTCAACGTTGGCTTAAACACCACACTCTAGGCAATATTGAGCTCTTCCTGCTGCTGGACCTAATAGGTTCTCCAGATACGTCCTTCAAGCTGCTTAACAAAAGAACTTTTAGTTATTACAAAAGATTGGTTGAGCTGGAGAGGCGAATCGTTAAAACGGGAATCTTGCAGCGAAAAGAACATATTTTTCAAATGGAATATGGTCAGGATATTAAAGATGATCATCTACCTTTTCTAGAGCAAGAAGTGCCTGTGGTTCATCTCATAGCGAATAAGTTTCCCAAGGTGGAAAAGGCAATAGACTACCAGATTGTGGAGCAAGTAGATCTTGTCCTGCGAATGTTTGTGGTGGAGTTTATGCGATCGAAAACCATCTCGACATCTTCTTTTCCTTACATTTAAATTGTTAAATACTTATGAAATATTTTCAATAATTAGTATAAATTTTTATAAGGAAATAATAAATACTTAAAGGAAAAAGAAAACTTTCTATGAACAAAAAATCCTTCTTTCTTTCTATCTTTACTTATTTTTATGGATATATATACATATATTTTGGTGTGTCATTTTTCATTCTTGACTTTAGTTTAACCACAGCCTGAATGCTATGCTATTTTTGGCATATCCTGGCAACCGAATCATATCAAATTTCCATCCATCCGCACCCGTTTTACCCCAACCCTCTCTCTCTCGATTCCCATCAGGCCAGGGGCAACACTCGAAATTTATGTACGCTGCCGCCGCTTGCTGAAAGCAACACGAAAGTTAATTAAACTTGAAAATAATAAAAGCAAAGCGGAGCAGGCAGCAGAACAGAAGGATCTCCGATGTGGCTGCGGCGAGTAATGAAACACAAAAAAGTGTACATCACAGCCAGCGGGCACCAAATGGCGGACACGGGGCCCCTGCAAATGGCAGGGGATGCATAAAAAAATAAATATATATATACAAAAACATATATATATATATACTTTGTATATGGGTAAGGTGCGGAGGTCGGTGGTCATCATTAGCATATCGCCGACAGCGGCGCGAAAAAAGGGTTCCCATTTGAAAAGTTAATCGCCAGCTGATGCTGCACTGCGATTGCGATGGCGATTCCCCGAGTTGGTGGGGGGGTCAGGGAGACGATGACTGCGTTGACACTGACAGCCACCCGAAAAAAGCAGAACAGAAACCTAGGGTACTAAAGCCCACCAACACGCCCCACCGAAGGCCATATCCCTGTCGTCGGGCGTTATCTGCGGACTGCAATAAAAACGGACAATAATTAAAACTGGCAAATAGAAATGGCACACAGCGCCTGTGCCGGAATACACTGGGAAAAATATAAGGTTGGGAAAGCTTGTTTTATTTATTTAGAAATTTATTACTTTACTTTTAGGGTAAGCAGTTATAAGACATAAGTAATAGCACATATGCTCACCATATCTTCATTCCAAGAATGCTAAAACCAGTTGGGAATTATATGTATACATTTGTGGGATTTTTAAGGGAAAATAAGAAGAGAACTAAATGAAGCAGGCATCATTAATTTGACATTATATATATTATTTTCTTAGTTTTAAAGCGCATTTTTTTCATATGTATCTTTTACATCTTCCAACTATATTTTTCAGTGCCTTTGAAATTGATTAAGCCCAAAGGCAAATTGTTCTTTTGACTAAATACTGATAGCATGTTAATTCAAGCGTTCTCGTTTGTGACTTTCAAAGGATTTCTTTCGTATATATGTATATATATTTTTTCAGATTATTTGCTTCTTTTTAAGGGAAACACAAAGTTTGGGTATTACGAGTACGAAAAGTCTTGCCCAACATTCATTAACAGTCGGTGCTGTCACTTGGCCTAACCCTTTTCTGCTTAATCAACAAAAAATGGTGTACTTACAAATACAAATAATTTACAGTGCTGGTAAAATGTTTAGGTCACCAAAATTATAAATAAAATATTTTAAATAATTATTTTAAGTGGGTTTTATGGGGTTTTTATTTATATATAAAATATTATAAAATATATATTATATTTTATTAATGTTAAACTTCTGTTAGGCACTGTTTATATGAAAAAACTTAACACAATTTATTTATTTATTGGAATTATAAAATATAAAATAAATTTTATTGATGTTAAACTTCTGTTAGACACTGTTTATATGAAAAAACTTAACACATTTTCCGGTTTGGTCGCTGTTTGAATTACTACAGGTCCGCCTTTCCTCCTGCTTTTTCTCGCTTTTTTTCCAAACAAATAACCGTAAAAATCTTTGCCATCCACATCAGTCGTAAAAAGGGGATTTCATTTTAATTACATACGAATTTCTTGTTTTTTTTTTGTCCTACGGATTCGGATTCAGATTCAGCTTTAGCTTTTTGCTTTTTTGGGTTCGGGTGCGAGTGCATCGCCGGATGATATAGTAGGGAATGAGTGAGTGTGGTAACCCCCGAGAGCTGAGCTTCTTTGTGAAACGCTTTCCGCCGTGTGTTGACTTTTATAATTAAGCCTTTTGTGTACATTTCCAGTTGATGGCACACACCACACCCCACACCACCCCCCCAAAAGGACGAGCCAGAAAGCAACCCCTGAGTGCTCACCTGGCGTAGCAGCATCATAAAAAGGATTAATTGTGCGCAATTAAAGAAAATATATTACCAAGTCGCGTTACGTATATTTTTTTTTTGGCCACGGCCACGGATTCGAAAAGTTTTTGAAAGCATTGAATTATGCAAAATCATTTAAATGCGTCGCCCCAAAACGAAAAGTTTTGCCAACATTTCTCCGGCGACTTAACCACTTTGGCATGTGTCTCAGATTCTTATTGTTATTGTTCTTGTTGTTGTTTTGCCAGGGCTTAAGTTCATAATGTTCATAGAGGGGGGAGAGTGGGGTAAAAAGGGAAAAGGAGTAGCTGTGGGAGGTGGGCTGTGGGTGGTGGGTAAGTGTCCCCGATAACAATTGCCTGGGCGGCATCCCTTTTTCCTTCCACATGCGTTCCCGGGTTAATTGCTCAAGTTCAAAATTAAAATATTTATTACAATGAAAAACTTTGGCACTTTCCGCGACGCCAACATGACGAACAAAAGGCAGCTTACAGGGTGAAGTGGCGGGTAGTACCCGAGCAACCCCTTTCCCCCCACATGGGAGTTGTTTAATTTGTTTTCCGCTTAGTGATGTTTGCCCTCGAGTGTGTGTGTGGAGAGTGTGTGTTGTGGAGGCTCTTGAAAGGTGCCTCTGTAACAATGGGGAACTTGTCATAAATTAAATAATTTCACAAGAGAGCTCAGGAGAGAGTGAGTCTTTCTAATTGACACACACAAAATGCAACTTCCTTTGTGTCTTTTGGTTCTTATCATGGAACAAAAAGTATATTTGCACTTGGGCTGGGCTTAAATCAATATTTTTCCATCTAAGAGACTAGAAAGATCTGAATTTAGCAGAACAAATTACTGCTAGAAATGGGGGAATTGGGAAATAACAGAAATTATAATAAATTATAAAACATTTTACTACTATTTATTATAATAGAAATTCTAAAAATACATTTTGATATAATAGAAATTGTAAAATTTTAAATATATTAGTTGATATATTCTAGCAAATAAATAAAGCTTTAGTTTTTAATAAAACTTGTTGAATTTAATATTTAAAAATATTATTTAAAACATTACAGCCTTATTTATATATTCCCCCCCTAAACACCTTTTCCAAGCTGTTTAAACAGGAAATAAACTCACTTGGCCTGCCTTTTGATTGCTATTATTTCGAGTAGGGGAGTTGGTGCTAGATTTCCCCATTTAATTAGCTCGATTTCCCCCCTCCTGAGGTTGCCCATTAGAACAGGTGTTGCCTGTGGCCAGGTTTCCCATTCCATCAAGGGGAAATACAACAAAAAATAAAAAGAAGAAAAACCAAACTCGTTTGGCAAATGCTTTAAAAATGTAACAGGCGGCAAAGGCTTTTTCATCATAGTCCTTTTTTTTCCTTTGGCTTCCTCTCCTCTCGATTATCATTTGAGTGTATTGAAAATTTGAAACGCATGAATAGTCAGCCTAGATCGTCCTGGGGCCATGTACATACGCCATGTACATATATGTGTAGTATATATCTGATGGGTCAGAGTCGGCACTCCGAGGGTTTATCTGCGCACTTCAGTTGAATTTTTTTTTTCTTCCCCCCGCTCAGAGTGGGCGGATATGGCCAAACACATCCGCTGGCAGATGTTTTGCACTCATAGCTCATAAGACTCAAGCCAAGCAGACGCAGACACTTGGGTATACTCTAAAAAAATGTCTAATAAAATTTTATAAAATATTTAAAATATCCTAGGGATTTTGACTGAGTTTTTAATTGATTTATAAACTATATAAATGTTTCAAAAATATTCTTGTTAGAAAATAAATGACTCTGCTTACTTAATAATTATTTTTAAATATATATAATATATTTTTTTTTAATTTCTTAATATTTCTTTATAAATATAAACAATATATTTTAAAATAAATAAACTATTTAAAAAGAAATCTAAGGGTTTTGGCTGAGTTAAAATTCTGATTGCTAAATATTTTTTTAAAAATATATTTAAAATACATTTTAAGGTAGAGTATCTCAATATTGCTGACTTCGTAGGACTTTCACTTGCAGCCATTAACTTTGATGGTGCCCCGAATGAGCAAGTGTAGCGGAAATGATTTGGTAGCTCTTGTCCCTAACCACCATGAGCCACCTCCTCCGAGATTGAAAAGAGTTTTCTTTTTTTTTTTGTTGTTGCCATAAATTAAAGTTTTTATTATGTTTATCCACAGGGCAACAGGCTAAGATAGATTGTATTCACATTTCAATTAAATTTCATTATTATATATATTTTTTTTTATTGAAAATATATATTTTATACATGGCTTAGCGACGTCTTTTTATTGACTTAATAATGCGAGGGATGAAAAGAATACCTGCAACAGCAAGTCCTCTTGGTAAAGTAAATCCCGTGGCATTTTCCTTGATTATTTCAACCATTTGATCCACATCCACAAATTCTAAATCACTAATATTCTTTGAGTAAATATTATGGCTCTCGTAATGTATTCCAAAGTCATTTTTAGTCTCCATCAGGAACTTTAAAGAGATAAAAATCGGTATATATTAAGTTCAGTTAAAAGCAGATTTTGTCTTACCGGTAAAATTACGAAAAGGAAAGTCAGACTTATAGTAAGTAGAGCTTTTTTTACTGTCATTTGAAATATTTTCGATATTAAATTGTAAAGTCCTTTGAACCAAAACTGTAGAGCCAGGATTCCAATTAATAAAATGATATTCGGTGGCTGAATATATCCCCATTGTACTGTGTAATCCGGTAACAGTCTCTGTAGTTCAGCTGCCAAATTCTGATATTCCCATTTTTTCGTAGAATCGAGCCTGAAAATATTATATTTTTTAGAATTAGATTCTTGCAAAAACTAAATGGAAACACAAACGTTTAAGTGCAGAATCACATTAGCTGTTATAAAAGCATTACTATTAACTTGTAGCTGTACTTACTTGTAGCATATGAAAACCACGTTGAAGAAATATTTAAAATATAGTACAATTAATATAACAAATTCAGCAAGATACTCCTGCGAAGGCATGGCGACTTTTCTCCACAATAACTCTCAGAAGACTGATTCATCGACTTGAACAAAGCTTTGTTCTCTGCTCTCTCGACAAGCTGCAAGCTATTTTAAAGTGGAAATGGCTACTGTTTACATAAGGCCTTATCAAATTTCGAATTTTTCATAGTCAGCAATTCGGTCAGCTATATATTGAGCTTATATTTATTGTTGATTAATATATACAGCAAGAAATAACCTCGTTTATTTAATTAATAAAATATAATTTATTAAATTTAAATTTAAATAAAGTCGTTTGGCTTAATAATTTACCCATACGAGGAAGTTAAAATAAAAATTTAGGTGTTACAACTTTTAAATATATAAAAATTTAGATTTGTAAGACAAGAATGTATATATTGTGGATTTTGTATATATTTATACCCTTGCAGGGTATTATAATTTCAGTCAGAAGTTTGCAACGCAGTGAAGGAGACGTTTCCGACCCTATAAAGTATATATATTCTTGATCAGCATCAACAGGGGAATCGTTCTAGATATGTTTGGAAGAAATCGATTTTTTGGCCATTTTTGATTTTGATAAAAAATTGAATTTTCAAAATTTTTAAATGAAGTATGCAGATTTATTAACTGTAGAAAATCTTGCACAGAACAGTTTTCCGATTTAAAATTAATGTTCTTTTGGCCGAGTTATGATATTTTTAATTTAAAAAAAAAATCAATAAGTTTTTTATATAAAAAATCAGATTTTATAATACAAAATAATATTTTTCTAAGTCAAGGAATCATTTCCGACCCCATAAACCATATATATTCTTGATCAGCATTAACATGCGAATCTTTCTAGACATGTCCGGAAGAAATCGATTTTTTGGCCATTTTTGCAAAATTTGATAAGGGGTTAAGTTACATCATTAAAACTAGCAAAAATTGCCAAAAATTTTCATTTCTTAAAATTTTAAATTTGGTATGCAGTTTTTTTAAATTAATAAAAACTAACACAAAACTGCTTTCCGAATCGAAATTAATGCATTTTTGGCTTAGTTATGATATATTTTAATTGTTACCTGCAAGGGTATACAAACTTTGGCTGGCCAAAGTTATATTTACCTTCTTACGTACATATATTTGTATTATTTTTGATTAAGTGTATAGAAAAATATAAATGTATATAGAAATATTCATATATTTTTCATATAAAGTTTCCAAAATACAACTTAAAAATTAGTTTCTATTTAATGTTTAAGAAATTAAACTTTTCATAAGATTTAAACAAGGCTTTCTGCTACCCATGAGGACATCTAAAATGGGGATGCTGAAAGTCCTATTCATTTCCCTCCTAGCTCTAGTTTTTTTTCTTGCTTTTTTTGCACTCCTCATCATCATCATCGTCATCATCATCATCATCTTGCGCGTTCGTCATTATCGAGCCAGAGTATTTCAGCTGTCATTACTTTTTATGGCCCAGCAACATGATGCACTTGCCTTGCCCCATGTGGTTGAGCTTGGGGTCCGTGGAAAGCGGAAAAGCGGGAAAAGCGGCAAGGGCCTAATGGGGGCGGGGGGGGCGGAGGCGGTGTTTTGTAGCCGAGGCTGACTGGCAGTTAAAATATAATTTCAGGAAAGAAATCATCATAGAGAGACCCAGCGCAGAAGCCCCAGCCTCGAGAGGCAGTAAAAGTAAAACATCAAAGTGAATGCCAGCCTGTTTTCCAAGGGGGCTTAAGAGGGGGTGTTGCAAGGAGTTGACTCTGAGGGGTTGGGATGGGGGGGAAATGGGGGAAAAAGAACGCATTTATCCAAAGTCCTTTTCCGTCCACATGCACACAGACACACACACACATAGACTCATGGCACTGCCATGTTTCATTTTTCACTTATCTGCATGTGAATGCCACACTGAGAGAAAATTATGTCACTTAGAAATTTTAATATATTTGTTATTATTATATTATTTAATTTTTAGCAGGATTTAAGGTTTTTATAAGATTTTTGTTGTAAGAAAAATTAAAGAAAATTAGTTTTAAGCGGAAGTAAAAACCATGGAATTCTGGTTTTCAGTTACTTTAAAAACATAGCCTACTTTCTGGCACTGCTTTTCTGACTTGAAAAGAATACTAAATTAACTTTTGTGTCTATAATAATTTAATTGTTGTTATTATACATTTTTTAATTATTTATTTTATTAAAAAGATTATGATCCTAGAAAACTATTTTTAAAATATATAAAACAATTTGAGATTTAATTTTCCCTAATCCAAAAATAATGACAAAAAAGTTCATAAATCTTAAAACTTTATTTAATTTATATTTTTATTAATATTAAATAATAAATAAATATAAATATAAAATACAATAAATATTTCTTATTATATTTGTAAATTATAAATTATAAGAAAATTTTTTTCTTATAATAAACTTTTATTTTATGAAACTCGTACTAATTTGATGTTAAAATTTTAAGCATTTATTTTCCCCAGTGCACAAACCAATTCCTGCCCATCCTTTTTGCGCTGAAAATTGTCAGCCGTTTGATTGTGTAATTGATTTAGCGGGAAAAACTCGTTCTGAACGAAAGTCTGGCAGTAGCAACCCCCCCTCTCCCCCTTTCTCTTTGCCCCTGGCCCATACCCTATGCGATCCGTCAATCCGTTTAAAGTCGTTGGCTAATTAAGTTGCGTCCCAAAACGGCAGCAAAGTGGAAAATTAAAGGAGAGGGGAAGGATGGAAGTTACTGGAAAATATCCAAAGGACTCGACATTTTTTTTTGTGTTATCGTTCTGGTCATAAATGAGGCTTACCGTTCGTCGTCAGTCCAACCCTTAACCACCACCCCTGCCAATCCTCAATATAAACAATTTCAATTGCCAGTCCTCGACACCAAAAGTTTACGATCGCTGCTGGTATTTTTTATTTCGTTCTTAATTTTTCACAATTTTTACACTGCCAGAGGGTCTAATGAAATTTGTGAGTAACTTTTCAGGAGAAATTATAAATTTTATAATTATTTTAAATGTATTTTTGCAGTAACTTGTAAATAAATATTAAAAAATATTTATACATAAAACTAAAGTTAAATGGTGTTTTATTCTTAAATATTTAATAATACATTTTTTTTATAATATAGTTTGGAAAGTGTATTCAAAGTCCTCACTATATCCTTCATCTTCTTATTATTTGCCACTGCCTGGCGGGAACATTAATTTTAATGTCGTCGAAAGGCGTTTAAAATAAATTTTTTGGGAGAGAAAAATAAAATATAATTTAGTCGGGTTGGTCGTTAAAAAATAGACACCAGCCGTGTTTACCTATAAAAAGTCGAAATATAAAAAATATATATAGAGCACGGGTAGGTAAATGCTTCAATATATCGGCGGCAAGGGGGATTTTCAGTGGGAATTTCGGCATTTGAGCACGCAGAATTTTATTACCGGGGACAATGAAACGGCAGAGTGGGCTCAAAGCAGCCGCGCTCACGTCGTCAGCACAGTGAGGTGGAAAAGTCTCTGTACCGCAAAGCTCACATAAAAAAGGCGTAAAACTCGAACTCACCGCAAATAGCGGGGAACCTGTGCGAACACGCCGTAAACAATTTTCCAAATCGCATTTTCCCAATCGATGCAGATGCTCTCAGATCGAAGAGTTTTATACTTTGAAAACCTATTACTTGGTTTAAAAAAATTGCGATAAAAAAAGGAAGGGAAACTTTTTAAATAATTAAAAAAGATATTGGGGTAAAATATTATATTATACAGCACAAAACATTATTTAAAAATATAATAGATACTAGAGGTGAGGGAAAATATGTATTTATCGGTAATTAATCGATATTTTATGAAAGGATCAATATTTAAATAATAAACAATAAATAAATATATAGATAAATACCTTTTTGTTATAATTCTAGACAATATAGGCATTTTATTTTATTTAATTTATTTTATTTATTTTAATTTTTAATAATTTTTTTAAAATTTCTATATATAAAATTTAATAATCGATATAATATCGAACTTTTCCTTTCGATATATACTTATTCTTAGAATTTCCTGTAATTTTTCCCCTATATTATTAATGGAATTTTACCTTAAACTATAGATATAATTTATAAATTTTAAAATATTGTATAATTTTAATCTCTTCCCCTAAAAATAAATCAAAACTTTCCTCGATTCCCTGCCTAAAATTTTATAAAATTATACAAATTTAAAAAACGCTTTAAGTTATTTCCCAGCCCCAGTTGTGGTTTGCCAAACCTCCGAAACACAGAGGGGAAATTAGCTTTTAACACCCGAAGAGAAAAATTGGTACCACCGAAAACGTCGGGGGGGCTGGGGGAGGTGACAGCAGGGGCTTATTTGAAACGAATTTTAATTAAAATACAACGGAAAAGTTTCGGTTCGGGCAGGAAACTTTTCCTGCAGCACACTTGAAGCTACAAAACCCAGAAACTGTCAGAGAGAGAGGACTCTCAACTCAAACCACCTCCTGGCTAAAAACCAAAATCAGAGCAATTCATTTTTACAAACCAAAAACCAATGAATGTGAATCATTATTCTTGGTCTAAGAGGAAATTAATTACGACTATCGATAAAAGTTTAAGGGGTTTCATGAAAGTAAATTAATTAAGAAATTAAGGAAAGCCTTTGAACTCTTTTGGATTTGATTTCTATAAATCTTAAATAGAAATATTTATTTATTTATAATTTTTAAAATTTAATTCATATAATAGATACACGATAACTGTCTTCATCTTTATTTTCCAGTTTTTGAATATTCCGAATCCGCTGCAGAATGGACGGCTTGTGACGGTACCACATGAGGTAGCCAAGATGGACATACGGGAACACACGATGGTCGGCAAAGAGCTTTAGCAAAGCGGCTTTCATGGAGGTAGCCACGCCCAGCCTATAACAATATCTATCGGCGGTGTACTCAAAATGCCTTAGGAAATAGTAAACTATCCAGATGCAACCCGTGCGGTAGAGTGTCATCAGATACTTGTACACCAGCCAGTAGCCCACGACATATGGATAGACCCTGGTGAAGCCCGCCGCCAAGTACATGGTCTGCCAGTTGTAGGAAAAACCAAAAATCACCAGGTAAGTCAACAGAGTCAAATGGAAGATCAACAAGCTTTTGGGTATATGCCACAGCCGCCAGTGGGCCAATTGATGGGCCACAAAGGCAGCCAGTTGTACATCATTCAGACCAGCACCCACTTGAGTCGAGGGCAGATCATCCGTTCCTACATTCCTGTTCAGCATTAGGTTATCATGGATAGCCAGGCGGCGGCAACAGCAGGCACCCAAAACCAAGGCCGTGGGTCTTCCCAAATAATAAGTGTGCACTAAATAGACACGACCCGGATACTTGAAGGTTTGCAGCACCACACTAAGTTGTTTACTCATTTCCGACTCCTTCAAGAGTCGGCTCTTGCCCAGGCAGGGGACACCAAAGATCCCGGTGGCGAGGTGAAGGATAAAGTCAACAGCCAGCAGAAAAAGCCAACAGACCAAAACAAAATACCAGACTTTTAGTTTTGCCAAGGTCATACAAATGGCAGTCAAAGGAATGACGCCAATCTAAAGGAGATTATATAGAAAGCTATATCTTCATTAAAGCTTGAACTCACCTGCATGAAAACCACAAAGAAGGCCAGGGAACACATCACGCCCATCAAGGGCCAAGACTTTTTGGGATCAACATTATATTTGGGATCCAAGATCAACTTTTCATAGAACATGGAGGGCAGCCTACGTATGACCAGATATGTGGTGAATATTGTCATAAAGACAACATTAAGCCAAATATCAGTGGCAAAGCGATACCACTCCACAGTCAACTTCCAAATGATGGCCAAGGTGCAAAGGTACAGATCCAGGCAACTGTATATGGTGTCGGCGCATACATTAAATAATGCCAGCTGCACACGATGCAGCTGCTTGTCCTTGGAATCCTGTTAAAAATTTGAGATTTTGTATTTCTTAATTATAAATTTTATATTTTATATATATTATCATACCTTAAAATCATCTAGCGACATAATGCCCTCCATTTGAGGCGGCGGTTCTGTGCTCTTTTCCACCAGCCTCAACTGGCAACAGCAGAGTATGGCATGAAAAATGCCATGAATTACTATCATCAGGCAAAGGACGTGACGCACAAACACAGGATCGGAGAAATTCCACTTTTCAGGCATCATTTTCATACCAATACTATAGCCACTGATCACCAGGGGCTCGGTACGTGTAGGGTCTTCATAGAGAGTTGCCATATTTCAATGTTTTTGTGTTGTTAAATAATATTCAATGGATATGTGTATAGAATATAATGAATAGAATCCAACCGATGACTAGATAGTATTTTTAATAAACTAATTTTGTATATTTTTAGTACATTTTTAAAAAGAAAAAAGCTTTTAATCCTAATTTCCCTGAAGAACTAATATTACGTATACGCAGTGTTGACATTATTTAAACAGAATATTTATGGTAGCAAATTTCCCTTTTCAGGATTTATCAGATATTCAAAATGTAATTAAAAATGTATTCAAATTCAGCCTCTAACATTCCTTATAAACTTCCCAGCGTAAGAAAATCCTGACCACAGTTGACAACCAAAAATCAAACTTGTCGCCTTCGCATCCTCGTAATCCCAGAATCAAAAATAGGGGAAAGGGGAAAGGGCAGGATTTACGCCCCTGCCAGTAACCGGATTCTAAGCGTTGACTACTGCAAGCCCAAGATTATAATGGCGCCAAAGAAATTACATACATATGTGTGTGTACCCTGGAAAATCCTGAGACGTGTGTGTGTTGGTGTACTTGCTGGGTGTAATGGTTCTTTGTAGTTTGTTTCGAGGATTTGAACTTCTTACGCCTGGCATATCAATAATGAGGCAAGGGCTTGGCTTGGGGATTCTTGGGGGAATTGTGTTGCCAAGCTGGCTGCTTTGATGGTTTCGGTTCAGCGCCATTACTTAACCCACAGCCATATACACGCACTCACACCCCCCCCAAACCGCACACACACACCCACTCGCACACACACAAATGCGCGAACATTCACTTGGCATCTCTAATTAGTAGAATTTAATCTTCACACTATGGCAACGTCAAACGTCCCAAACAGCGAGCTCTCCCTCTCCCTTTAGCCACATCCACACCATATAGTACCATATAGCCACCCCCTCTGTATCCCTTATTCCGCCCATTGCGCTGCTCATTATGAAAAATTCCAAATTAAAAAGACGAGGGGAGTGGAGCGTGCACTGGAGAAAAAATGTTGTACAAATAGTTTGAAGAGTGTACAATTTTATTTTTACTTTAACTTTAATATTTATTTAATTTTATTATTAATTATTTAATTTTAGAGATATACAACTTTTGATTTATAGATTTTAAAAGTAAAATTTATATTTTAATTACTTAAAATAATTATAGAATATATCTATGTATATTTTTATACAACATTCTTATTGGAAATACTTTGGAAAAAATAGTTTTAAAAGAATTTTCACTTAATTTGTTTGTTAAATTATATTTTATAACATTTCTAACGTATTTAAATTTATGATTATTAATATTTTATCAAAATCCATTGAATTTTGCCAAAGTTAACCATATTTTATTATGGCTAAGTTCAATTTTTATAATACAGATTTTTAATAATTAAATTATGATATTAAAAATATACCTTACAAGTTTGAAAAGAGAAGGGAAATTTATTAATAAAAATATTTTAAACAAAAATGTATAGATAAAAAAATATTTAATAATCTTTTTTTTATATATTCACAATTAAAAATATTTTTATGTAATTATAAAAACCCTAAAACAAGGATAAAATAAAATATTAAGTACATACATTTAATTTACTAAGGTATTAGATTTTTTATAATTTTTAAATTAAGTTTTCAATGTAAACAGATAAATATTAAGTTTGAAATTACCTTAAAAACAAGAAAGGAAGCTAACTTCGGCACGCCGAAGTTTTTATACCCTTGCAGATTGGTTTCGATGTTTATATTATAGATTTAAATGCTGAAAACACTCACAAAACAGAGTTTCATTACATTTTACCTATACTTATTATGTTTACAGTTTGACAGTTACAGTTTTACATTCCCAGCTTTACATATTTTATACATTTGCCGATCGCTTCTATGGCAGCTATATGATATAGTTGTCCGATTTTTATAAAATTTATACCAAAATTCTAGAATAATAAAAAAGCTTATAACTTAAAGTAGATGAAAATACGTTGAAAAACAACGAAGTTATATTTTTTTTCGATTAATTTCCCGATCGTTCCTATGGCAGCTATAAGATATAGTCGTCCGATTTTCATAAAATTTTTACCAAAATTCTTAAATAATATAGAGTGGCCATATCTAAAAAATGGTGCAAAAATGTTGAAAAACAGCAAAGTTATAATTTTTTTCTAAAAATATATCGAACATTTGTATGGCAGCTATATGATATAGTCGTCCGATCCGGCCCGTTCCGACATATATAGCAGTGAGAGCATATAGAAGACTATATGCAAAGTTTCATTCAGATAGCTTTAAAACTGAGGGACTAGTTTGCGTAGAAACAGACAGACGGACAGATGGACAGACGGACAGACGGACAGACGGACGGACAGACGGACAGACGGACAGACGGACAGACGGACATGGCTAGATCGACTCGGCTGTTGATGCTGATCAAGAATATATATACTTTATAGGGTCGGAAACGTCTCCTTCACTGCGTTGCAAACTTCTGACTGAAATTATAATACCCTGCAAGGGTATAATAAAAAAAATATATATAAATGTCTATATTTTCATAAGTCATTTGAATTATATAAATTCTTTACTTACCCCATAGCTTGTTTATATAAAGTTATAATGTTAAAAGAACTTAAGTAACTTCAAAATTTAATTTTACTTGCAAAAATCATCCTTTGACAAGCATTATTGATGACTGAATAACCTTAATAACTTTCTAGAGACTGCGACTACATTGAATTAATTAATTATTTATCAAACTGATGTGAAAATTCAGTTGGTGGAAAATGGCTGAAAGCCTTGAGTTCCTTTATTTTTTCCCTGTGCGAAACAAAGTAAAAGTTTCTTGCAAGAAGTAAAGGCAGGATTTGCATAAATACCAGGACATGTGGGGGGCTTGTGGGCGGTGCTTCTGTTGTGTGTGTGTGTGTGTTAGTATCACACATCATGATTACATAATTTAGCTATTAAAACAGCGCCAAGTGGCTGGCTGAAGGCGCGAGGCTCTGAGTGCCAGAGAGAGGCAGGAGGGAGGGAGGGAGGTCGGCTTATTTATGCCTCGACACGCCGTTCAGCGGCGCAGCTTCAAAGGATCCGACCAAGGTGGAGGAGGAGTTGGGGGAGACTAGTGGCTGGGTATTCCAGTTCAACGGCACACATGTGCACTTGATTTGCTCATTAGCGTTACTTTTCTGTTCATAATAGGGCGCTTACCAAGCCGGAAACCGCAGCCGCCACTGTGCCCCGTCCTGGCTTCGTCCTGGCTTCGTCCTGGCCACATTTGGTTTCATTTCGAACCGCTCTGGATGCGTCGGCATAAGCCGCTTAGGCATATCCTTTGTGCATGTGTAATTGTGCTGGCTCTCACACGCTTCCCCCCCTACTTACTCATGCCCCCCTCTGCCCGGTCTTACCCTTACACACTCACACACACACCGAACACCCACACCCCTACGCACACCCACGGACTAAGCCCTAATAATCCTCACTATTTGGCCCAAAGGAGAAGAGAAAAAAAGGTAAAACACTGGGAGAAGTTAAGGTTAAGTCGTTAAAACATAAAAAAACATAATTTTCTAAATTTTATAAATTATTAAATCTATTTTTGGTTAAATAAAAATATATTCAAATATTATGGAGTAAAATTTTTAAGATTTCAGAACTTTAAAAAATCTAGAAAATCATTTAAATGTTTTCTTATTACCAATTAATTAATAATTAAGTTAGCAAAACCACAAATTCTTCTAGATATATAATTAAATAAATATAATAAAAAATAATATAGATATTTCCGATATACTTCCTTAAATTTTAAATATAATTTCCTAATGGTTTACAATGATTTTATTATATTTATGATATTAATTTATGATAATTTACGATTTTATAATTTATATAAAAATGTTCTTTCTGAATTTTGTTTATTAAGAAATTAATATAAATTAAAATTCCACTAAATATATTATTAATTATATATTTTCCCATTTTATATAAGCTTTCATTGGTTATTTCATTAAGTTTTCTCTCAGTGTAATGCGTAACTGGGTAGCAACCCAAAAACGCTGTCCCCATTTTCTGTACAATTCTCTTTTCTTGGGCTAAACTCAAAAATTTAACATTTCACATTTGCCAAAGGCTGAACACATTATTTTCCCTTTGGTTTCCTTGGCTACCAAAAGATGCACTCTACAGATATACCTTATAAAGAGATATATATACATACGTATGTACGTATGTGTGTTTATACACAAAGAAAAGAGGTTTACTTCTGGCTGGCAATCAAGATGTGGTGCGGGAGGGGGGCATTTCATCTCAAGGGGTATATAAATAAAGATTTGCGTTGAATGGAGTTAAACCTTAACGAATGGCACTATTTCAAAAGAGTTTATCTTAACAAAAAGTCTTACCCATATCAAATGGGAATAGTTTCTTTCTTTTTTTATAATCAAAGAAGGCCTGAAAGAATGTTTTGTGAATGGGAAAACTTTAAATAAAATTTGGCTAAAAGAGAAATGTTTTAAAGAATTAATTGAAGTGGTGAATTCTATATATAAGCAAGCTTTACTATTCTTAAATTTTAAATTTTAATAGGTACTCTGTGTATATAGTCTCTTCTAGACACTTTCCCCTCCTGTATTCAGAGTCCGATTTATTTGAATTATAGCAGGGTTAAATAAACCTAAGCCTTATAATTATGTGGTCTCGACTCCAGACAGATTTACCTGAGGGCTTGATAAATTTTTCCTGTTCTGCCCCTGTTTGTGTGATATATATAGGTATATATTTTAAATGTAGACCTCAATTATCTGAAGCAATTGTGTGGGAGATAATCTGAAACTGATTCGGATTTGTTGCGGTCAAGTTGTGTGCCGTCATCTTCGGCAATCGATAGGCTTCGTCTTTGACTCCGAAGACTCCTGCATCTTCTCCTCCTCCTCCTACTCCTCCTTCTCATTCTCCTCCTCCTCCTCCTCCTCCTCAAAGTATGAAGAATTATACATTTTTTTGTAGACCATCTATTACCCTTGATAAGATCTCCAGGTGAGTAGAAGTTTCCGTTTCATG